TGTACACACTAAGCGGGTAATTTGAATTTGTTATATGCATTTTAATTGTTTGAATTTCATAGGGTGGAAACTGTTAGCTCCGGATAAATTTATTTGAGTAATACAGAAATTTTATTAATATTGCCCAATAAAATTATAACGTTGACGCATTTAAAAAGAAAAGTTCATATAAACTCCTGTACTTGTACGTGCCCTTACTTTTCTGCTGCGGGCACGAAAAAATTATTTTCGATAAATTTTGTTAGTTTGTTAATCAAAACACCATATTTTCAGTATTTCATAAGGGTCTCAGGTTTTAGTAGTAAGAAGATTTACTTTTACATGCCCTTACTTTTCTGCTGCGGGCACGCAAAATTTATATTCAACCAATTTGGAATATACCGTAGATATACATTCATGTATATTACCGGAATATCTGTTTTCAACATACTAGGTATATTCACCTGCACATATACACAATATGTACATACCTGGCATGTTCATCTGCACATATACCCAATACGTACATACCTAGGATATACTTTTTATGAACTTTGATGAATATACATGCATGTATATTCCACGAACATTCATCTTAGGAATGTTCACCTATGCATATTCCCAGGATATTCCCGCAATGTTCTGTACATTTTTTGAACATTCTGGGATATTCATAGAATATCAAATGCTATCTGGGAATCTTGACTAAGTGTTTATTCACTTTCCTCTACAAAACCCCCAAAAAACCACCAGCAAAACAAGTAGAGATCAATTTGGCTTAATGAGGGCAATTATGACAAAAACTAGACAGAGGATGCAGCGGAGCGTCACTAACAAAATTAGCATTTGTTATATCCTGTAATTTCATCTAGTTCAGTCTAAACTAGTGCGTTTCACATCGCGTTCGACATGAGGCTGTTTAGCTTGCAATTAGTGCTGGTTTTCACATTGTTCATCCATGGGAGCGTCTCGCGAAAAAGCTCCAAAAGTCGGTCGAAAAACGGCTCAAACGGCAGCAAAAACAGCAACTCTGGCTCGAGCTCCAGCAACAACTCGACCAAATACAGTTACGCTGGATATGCGATATCAACGTCCCCCAACCATGCAAAGTCTAACAATCAGCTGCCTCCAAATGTAAGTGACTCGGGCCGCTCTAATCATCACTTTAACTCACTAACCCCGTAACTGGCTGAATCCCACCGAACCAGAACTGTGGATATTTGCATAGGTGGAGCCCCAATATCTTCGGAAACAGGCGCAAAATGAGCATTCCGTCCCCACAGCGCCAACCCAGCAGAAGGCTGCGCCAGGCTGGAACGTTCCCGGACAGCGGCAATCAGCACCCAACGTTGGCTGGAATGTGCCCGGACAGGCAAAGACCCCACAAAGTAACCCCATTTGGAGCTCTAAGCCTGGACAAGCGCCCAAACGTGTAGGGTATTTCACACATATCATCACTGCAAACGCATCTGGATTGGGGGAGCCCTGATGGAATTTCTGGATGTTTCAGGATGAAGGTCTGGTGAAGAAGGAGACCTCCAAAGTGCAACAGTTCAGCCCGCATCAGGTGCAACCGCCGGCTCCTGGATGGAACACTGGAACGCAGCCTAATGCTCAGAATGGCAATTCCGGTGAGCGATTTTTCAGGGAAATGTTCGCCCGGAGGTTTACTGATTGGTTTAGGGTGGAAGTCCGGATATCAAACCAATGGGGCTCCGCCTGCTTATCCCCATCACAACGCAGCGCCTCCCGGATACAATGGCCAGACGAGTTGGGGGGCGCCGCCTGCCTATCCAGGCGCTCATGGTAAGTCCATCTCATCCAAGGATTTTCCACACAAATCATTGTAAATTACAGCTCCAGGGTATGGAGGATATGGAGGCTATGGCCATGGCAATCAACCGGCTGGAGGATACGGGGGCTATGGGGGCGGCTATGGGGGCGGCTACCACCCTCAACAGCCCATTGGCGGGTATAATCCAGGCTATGGCGCAATGGGAGGCTATGGAGGTGATTTTGGGGGATAACTCCTCTCTGAATGTCTGAAAGTTTCGCTTTGCTTAGGAGGCGGCGGCGGCTTTGGGGGCGGCTTCGGCTCGCCAGGATTCGGAGGCGGATTTCCAATGCAGCAGAAAAAGAGCTTCTTCAGCGCCAGCACTATTGGCAGCGTCGTTGCGGGGATGCTCGTTTACAAGTAAGTTTCATTTGCGTAGGAAAATACTCATTTTCAATCGATTCCTGCTCGGGTTGGTTCAGAAACCATGGTGTAAAACAGAAAAACCGCGCAAAACACCCCGATGTTTAAAAATGTGCTATGAAGGTACGGATGTCGTGAGTGAAACGAAATTCGCAGCACATTTAAAAGGGAGTTTTCCCCATTGAGCGGTGGAACCTCTATTGCAATAACGCTACTGGCTGCTCAGAAATCGTCTTCAGAAGAGGATGGTGCAAAAACAAAAACCGCGCGAAAACTATACAAATGCGTGTTTTTTGAGCTCAGTAGAGCTTTCGACGTAAGAAGGTCTCAAATGTGCATTTGTAAAGTGTTTGAGTCAATAATCAGGAAGAAATCGTCCGATAAAGATCGTGAACGCTCAAAAAACGCCTAAAATGTACCGAAAGTGTCGATTATTTCGGACCTGAAGCTTCTGTCATGTTTTTCAATGAGTTCGATGCATTTCTCGCGTCCGTGAGATGAAAATGATGTAAAATTTAGGAGGTTTTGAGAAAATTTTCATTTTTCCAAAAAATCGACCAGAAGCCCTTGAAAAATTTCGGCCAAAAATTAAAATTTCACATGCGGGTTTTTTGAGCAATCGATTCCTTTCAACGTAAGAAGGTCACAACTATGCATTTATAAAGTGTTTGGGTCAATAATAAGGAAGAAATCGTCGGTTAAAGATCGGGAACACTCAAAAAACGCTTAAAATGTACCGAAAATGACTATTATTTCGGATCTAAAACTTCTACCATGTTTTTCGATTTCTGTCGCTCGAATGGTTATTGAGAAACTTCGAAAAAAGCAGCGTCATGTTCAAGTGGATTTTGCAACTCGAAAAACATCACGCAAATCTAAAACTTCTTGAATTCAAGCATTTTTTGAGAAAACTGCCAACATTTCCTTATCGATTGTTGACTTGCTAAAAAGGCCATTTATTTACCTCTAGAATGATGTACAAATGAGCGTTCTTGCTTATTTTGCCTCCGAGAAATGAGCAAAAACAGGACGGAAAACATGAAATTTTGGCATAATCTTGAACCTAAGTGTTTGATATTCAAATTTCGCTTTC